CATCTTAATTTTGTCTTATAATACTCGCTCTGCAAAGCAATTGCCTAAATTTCGCTCTTAAGATTTCATTTACATAGAGCTGCCGCTCTTCGCTGTAACGATCGTTTTATTGCCCTAGCTTTACTTATGCGAAGGCCTCGATGCTGCGCATCGAGTTAGTTAAGTTCGTTCGCTTCATGCATTTGGTACGCATCGGCCACTTGCATTACTCAAAATTATAACTAATAATTGTCGCTTCGCTAAAATTGGCACGTACTAATTCGGGTTCGCTTGCCTATATATAAACTATTGTTCTTAAATAATAAGCACAGACCAATTTGGGTCTGCCTGCTTCTCGTAACTTTAAGAAATATAAAACAATTTTGAACACAAGAAATAAATAGTTAATTATTTCTATTTGTGAAAGCTATTGAAAAAGCTCAATAGCGCAACATTTTGGTGACCCCGACGTGATTTTATTTTTGTTGTAAGATTATTTGCTTTACATTAAAGCAATAATCTTAAAAGACACCACCTGGCATTTCGTTTTGTGCACTTTATATACATATGTACATACTTATCGCCGTCGCTTTGCCTACTCTTTCGGTCGCTTAAAGTCTTTGCTCATTCGTGCGGTACTTATGTAAAAGCTATTGCCGTTGCTTCCTTACATAGCTTGACACTTGCGTTCGCCGAAGTTCTTAGTGTACAACTATTGTTTTTTGAACGGTTTGCATGTACTAGCGATCACCGTTGGTAGTTACTCAGCTAGTTTCGCACGCGCTTTCTATCACGCTTCTAATGGCAACCGAAAATAATGCCTCTAGTGCAGTGCCCTCTGCAAACAGGGTGACCTTTCTGAAGCGCAAAGCCATTTCAATTTATGACAGTTTGCAAACACTTCGAAATGCTCTAACTAATTCGCCACTTAGTGCAATTGATGAGTGCGGTCTTAGTGTTAGGCTGAAGCAAATCGAGCGGCTTCAGACCTCATTTAATATTACTCACACTAGCCTCGAAGAACTAGACTTTGATGAAATCGCTAACCAATTGCGTGAGGACTTCGACGAGTTAGCAGTTTCTATGGAAATTTCGTTTCGGAGTGAAATTGCGAAACGTATCTCAATATTGCCCTGCTCAACATTTCGCGACCAATCTGTGCTGCCGTCACAGACAGTTAGAGCTACGGCACCGCCGACACTACCCTCAATAAAGTTGCCTACGTTCAGTGGTGGTTACACAGAATGGGCCGACTTTTATTCTATGTTCACAACCGTCATAGAAAATCATCCTGATCTAGCAGATATCGAAAAGCTGCAGCATCTTCGATCGTGCCTGAAGGATACAGCGCTGGACGCGATTCGATCATTGGAAATAACAAACGATAATTATGCCATAGCACTTAATTTATTGGAGAAAAGGTTTAATAATAGACGTTTGGTTTTTCAGGCACACATACTTGAGATATTGGGGCTCAAGAGGGTGGCAGGTGGATCGGCCGTGTCGCTAAGAGAGTTATCCGACCAATTCAACGCACATATTCGCGCGTTAAAGAGCATGGGCAACTCCGAACAAATCGCTGGATGCATCATTGTGCAGATTATTTTACAAAAGCTGGACCCAATATCACAAGCCAAATGGGAAGAAAGGCTGGAGGATTCGTCGTTCGTCAACCTAATACCATCGTGGGAGCATATGGCTACGTTTCTGGAGCAGAGATGCCGAACAATGGAAACCGTAAATTTTGCTATGGCAAGCTATGCCCCTAGCCATCAGGTGGGAAAAACTAGAGCAAATAACACCAGTAGATCGTCATTTATCGCCACTAACCACAACGCCCCTGCTTGCGTCTTTTGTGACAGCCCTGGTCATAATATATATAATTGTTCTCGATTTGGAAATTTGACCCCTGCATTACGGCTTAGGGAGGCAAAACGAGTTGCATTGTGCTTGAATTGCCTAAAGAAAGGTCATCAATTGCGATCATGCAGCTCCGGATGCTGTCGGACCTGCGGGGCGAAACATCATTCTCTGCTGCATTTAAATAATTCGGTATTTCCGTCTGGTCAGCTGACTGAGCCTGCAAATTCATCGCCGATAGCCCATGCCTCTTTCGCTAAGTCATCGCCATCTACCTCCACATCTCTTGTTGCCCAGTATTTCAGTAGTGATGTTGTCGTCTTGGCTACGGCTTTGATCTTTGTTAAAAATCGCTCCGGCACTTTGATACCTTGTCGTGCCCTTTTGGATTCTGGTTCTCAGCTTCACCTTATAACGTCGCGCCTTGCTCAACAGCTTCAGCTAAAGAAGCACAAGTCCTCAGCCATTGTCTCTGGTCTAGGAGATTCTCGTTTTGAAACAGAAGGAAACACGGTCACTATCACAATACAGTCTCAAGTCTCTGAATACTCAACATGCCTTACAGCTCTGGTAGCGCCTAACATAACTGATAGTCAACCGAGTTTTACTATCAACACGACGAATTGGAACATTCCCGATAACATAAAACTTGCAGATCCGTCTTTCTTTAAACCTCAACGCGTGGACTTGCTACTTAGAGCTAGCCTGTTTTACGACCTTCTCAGCGTCGGCCAGATAAGGCTTCTCCCAGGACTACCGTGTCTTCAAAAAACACGGCTTGGTTGGGTAGTTTCTGGAGGCGGACCGCGCTTGAGTGGTTCTATGTTAATGGCAAAGCATACTGCGGGCAAACTTGAGTCAAGTTCTGAAGAACGTGCTGATGAATTGGTTCGAAGATTTTGGGAGATAGAATCCTGCTTGGAAAGTACACCTACCACTTCAAAGGAAGAAAACATCTGTGAAGAACATTTCGTAAAGACTCATATCAGATTGCCTAGTGGCCAATATTCAGTTCGTTTACCCTTCAAGCGAAGTTTGGAATGTCTGGGGACGTCATACCAACAAGCTTTTCGTCGGTTCCTGACACTGGAACGCAAACTACAAAATCGTCCAGATCTGAAGATTCAATATTCAAACTTTCCAAAGGAATATTTGGATCTTGGTCATATGTCGCCTGTTGCTCCAGAGTCTATAGGACTTTGTCAATACTTTCTTCCTCATCACTGTGTCTTTAAAGAAGACAGTTCAACGACAAAATTGCGAGTCGTTTTCGACGGCTCAGCAGCTACCTCGTCAGCTACCTGTTATTCAAAGCTCGCTGTTTCATATCCTTCTTCGCTTTCGTAGTTTCCCGATCGCCCTAACAGGATATATTGGAAAAATGTATCGCTGCGTATGCGTTTCAGCACCGGATAATTTTCTCCAATGCATTCTGTGGCGAGACTCGCCAGAACAGGATATAAAGATTTTTAAGCTGGATACAGTTACATACGGAACAAAGCCAGCTTCATTCCTCTCTATCCGTGCTATGCATCAGCTGTCTATGGATGAGGAAACTAATTTTCCAATTGGATCTCGGATTTTGCGGCGTGACTTCTACGTTGATGACCTCATTTCAGGGGGTGATTCAATTCAAGAAGCAAAGGAAATTCTTAATCAGACGGCTGGAATCTTGGCAAGTGGGGCTTCAAGTTGCGAAAGTGGTGCTCAAACAATGCTGCTGTACTGAAAGGGATACCCGTAGAGGACAGAGAATCTTCTCTAAAGTTTGATGATGGTAGCGACATCACCAAAACTCTTGGACTCGCTTGGGACTCAGCGTCGGATCGGTTGTTGTTTTCTTTTTCGTCCATTCAGCAGAGATCTAAACCATCCAAAAGATCAATACTATCGACCATAGCTCGCTTGTATGACCCGCTTGGACTCATAGGGCCGGTAATTGCCAAGGCTAAAATCTTTTTACAGCAGATCTGGAAGGAGAAGCTTGAGTGGGACGAGAGCTTGCCATCATCACTAGCAACAGCTTGGCATGATCTTTGCTGCAGTTTTGAGAAGGCACAGTTTCTTAAATTTCCTCGTCTCGTGTCAATACCTGCAGCAGAGTTAGAAGTTCACGGTTTCTGCGACGCCAGCATCGAAGCATATGGGGCCTGTGCCTACGTCCTTTCTCGACAAACATCAGCCAGTTGTCAGTTGTTGTGTTCCAAATCGCGTGTAGCTCCTCTGAAAACAATCACAGTTCCAAAACTAGAGCTCTGTGGCGCCGTCTTATTAGCTAATCTCATGCGTGAGATATCTAAAATGAATCTGTTCGATGGAAAATTCTACTGTTGGTCGGATTCTTCTGTATGCCTTTCCTGGATAAGGACCGAGCCCTGCAAGCTAAATGTGTTTGTGGCTAATCGCGTCACAGCAGTTCAAAAGCTAACTAATGGCATGGAATGGCGTAACGTGCCTACTTCACTCAACCCGGTAGATATACTCTCGAGAGGATCTACGCCCAGTGAATTAGATCAATCGTCACTGTGGTTCAACGGCCCAGAATTTCTAGTTAAAAACAAACTGGACTGGCCTGCTTCTTGCTTGTCAGAAAGGACAGAACTCGAACTTAAAAAAAGGGTCCTTATTGCGTCATCTCCCTTCGTTGATATAACTGCCACTTGTAAATACGTCAACTCATTTGATACAATGCAGCGTATATTCGGATATATTTATAAATTCAAAAACAGAAGCAGGCATCCTGGACTAACAGTGTCTGATATACAACATGGGACCCAACTCTTACTAAGGCTCGTCCAGAGAGCACATCTGTGGGAAGAGATCAAATCATTGCAATCGAGAAGAGTTGTTAAACCATCCAGTTGTATCGCATCACTTAACCCTTTTTTGGATGATTTCGGAATTCTTAGAGTTGATGGGCGCTTGAAAAACTCTTCGCTGGATTTCGACGCTCGCCATCCAATAATTCTCCCGTGTCACCATCCCATCACAGATTCAGTCATCACACGGTTTCACAATCGGGACTTACACGCTGGTCCACGGGCACTTCTTGCTCATATTCGGTTGCAGTATTGGCCGATTGGTGGAAGGAAGACCGTATCCAAGGTGGTTGGAAAATGTGTGAGATGCTTTCGTGCCAAGCCTCGATTAATAGAGCATAAATGGCTGATCTGCCCAAAGAACGTTTGACTGCTTGTCGAGCCTTTGAAGTCTCTGGCGTTGACTATTGTGGACCATTTTTCTATAAGCCAGACGTACGAAATAAAGCTCCAGTCAAATGCTACATGGCTGTCTTCGTCTGCTTCGCGACTAAAGCGGTTCACCTGGAACTGGTCAAGGATCTGTCGACAGCTTCTTTCTTGAATGCGCTTAAGAGGTTTATATCGACTCGAGGCAGGCCATCTCAGATATGGTCGGATAACGCTACCAACTTTGTCGGCGCCAAAAACGAGCTTCTGGATCTCAAGCGTCTATTCATAAGTCGCAATCATATTGAGTCAGTGCATAAATTTTGCATGGCTGATTCCATTGATTGGAAATTTATACCTCCTCGTTCACCGCATTTTGGCGGCCTTTGGGAAGCAGCAGTGAAGACAGCGAAACATCATTTTTATCGTGCTGTTGGATCTTGTGTTCTCAACTTCGAAGAGTTTCGCACCCTAGTCTGCCACATAGCATCGATAATTAATTCCAGGCCATTGTTTCCTCTTTCAGAAGATCCAGCAGATCTAGATGTGCTCACTCCAGCTCATTTCTTGATTGGTGGACCCAGCTCATCGTTCGTTGAACCTGATGTGACGCACCTTCAATTCAATCGTCTGGATGGTTGGCAACGCGTAACATACCTCCAACAACTGTTTTGGTCTCGCTGGCGTGAAGAATACTTAACACTGCTTCAGCAGCGCTCCAAATGGCGTACTCCGAAACCAGGCCTATGCGTCAACGACATAGTCCTCGTAAAGGATGAAAATCTGCCGCCTCTAAGGTGGCCACTGGCGAGAATCACAGAGTTAATCGTGGGAAAGGATGGAGTCGCTCGAGTAGCCATTTTACGCACCGCAACAGGAGAAACGAGAAGAGCTGCAAACAAGCTATGTCTATTGCCCATCAGGGAATCTGTTGAAAGCCCATGCCTTCCAACGGGGGGAGAATGTCTGGTTACGCAGCCAGAACAACTGGAGCGACCTCGCAACTGATAAGAGCAGCATCTTAATTTTGTCTTATAATACTCGCTCTGCAAAGCAATTGCCTAAATTTCGCTCTTAAGAATTCATTTACATAGAGCTGCCGCTCTTCGCTGTAACGATCGTTTTATTGCCCTAGCTTTACTTATGCGAAGGCCTCGATGCTGCGCATCGAGTTAGTTAAGTTCGTTCGCTTCATGCATTTGGTACGCATCGGCCACTTGCATTACTCAAAATTATAACTAATAATTGTCGCTTCGCTAAAATTGGCACGTACTAATTCGGGTTCGCTTGCCTATATATAAACTATTGTTCTTAAATAATAAGCACAGACCAATTCGGGTCTGCCTGCTTCTCGTAACTTTAAGAAATATAAAACAATTTTGAACACAAGAAATAAATAGTTAATTATTTCTATTTGTGAAAGCTATTGAAAAAGCTCAATAGCGCAACAGTTGTAGTTGGAAGTTTTTCTATCTTTATTTCATGTTCATATGTACTCCCTATCAAATCTATCTCCTCCCTACTTTCTGATAGGGACCTTTTAGTAGTTCTTGGGGACTTTAATATCCCAGATGTCGATTGGTCATCGCCATCAGACTCAAACTTTCTGTTGCCGTCCTCATCAAACGAATTAATCGATGGCCTTCATGAAATGTCCTTACAGCAGGGTAATCGTGTGCGCAATTCAAGAAACAGATCTCTTGATCTTATTTTCGTGTTGGATTCGTTTGACAGTGTTGTGCACAGGATTAATCCGCTTATACTTCCTGAAGACCCTTTTCATCCAACTTTGGATATGGTCATTGATCTACCAGCCCGAGTCCCTATTAAGGAATCGGAATTAGCTGAATGTGTCCGTTGTTTCCGAATGGCTGATTTTCATAAACTGAATGATCTTATTCTGCATGATCTTATTCCGACTGGTTCCAACTGTACAATTGTGCAGACATTGATGTTGCCATTAAACTATTTTATGATACCTTGTACTCGTTTTTTGATGTCTGCGTTCCTCTTGATCATCCAGCGAGGCCTGATATGCCTCCCTGGTTCTCAAGTGAACTTTTGAAATTAAAAAATGTGATGTCGAGGGGTTATAAAAAGTTTAAGAAATCGGGAAATCACTCTGATTTCTTCCGCTATGCAGTTGCCTGATCAAACTTTTCTACTCAAAATTCCATCTGCTATAAGGATTATCTTCGCCGTTGTCGCCTCCAATTTTCTCATAATCCTAACAAATTTTGTAACTTTGTCAATTCTAAACGAAAGACATCTATTTTGCCTTCTTCGGTTAAGTTTTCAGATGAGAGTGCGAATACTGATCCAGGCATAACCGATCTGTTCGCAAACTGTTTTCAAACTACCTATACCTACCCCTTTTGAGTATAATAAAAATCAGCCTTATCCTTATCAGTTACAGAGGTCAAACTGCAACTTTAATCCCATTATTACGAAAAGTTCGCTTCTCAGCGACCCTAAAACTATCAAGCCGGTTTACTCACCGGGCCCTGATGGTGTCCCTGCTTGTGTGCTCAGTTACTCTGCTGCAGCATTATGTAAATCTGTGTTAAAACTTTTTGAATTGTCCGTAAACACTTCATCTTTTCCGACCATTTTGAAGGAATCATACATTATCCCTCTCCATAGGAAAGGGAGTAAGTCAGATGTCAAAAACTATAGAGGTATTTCCAAATTATCCGCTATACCTAAAGCTTTTGAGAGAATAATAACAACTCAACTGCAACATTTATGTAGTTCTATCATTTCACCTTCCCAGCATGGGTTCGTGAAGCGCAGAGCTACAACCACTAACCTTCTTGAGTTTACTTCGCTGGTAATTGATGGGTTTAAGAAAAGGATGCAGACTGACGGTATCTACACTAATATCAGTAAGGCTTTCGACTCTGTCAACCACTCCTTGCTGCTTCATAAATTATGCCTTCTCGGCTTCCCAGTCAATCTCTTGAACTGGATTTCAGAGTATTTGCGTAACCCAAAAGGTTTTTTTTTAGAAATTCGTTTTCTAAACGAATTCAGGTGACTTCCGGTGCTCCTCAAGGAAGTCATCTTGGCCCGCTACTCTTTACTCTTTTCATTGATGACCTTCCCTCGATACTGTCTCACTCTCGAGTATTAATGTATGCTGACGATGTGAAGTTATGCCTTGCATATAAAGAAATGGCATCATGTTATCTCTTAGAAGCTGACATTGATGCGTTTCAGGGTTGGTGTCTAGCCAACCTCTTAAACTTAAACTGGTCCAAATGTAAGGTAATGACTTTCTATAGATGCCCCCCTCAATTGGTTTCTTACATCTTTGATAGCTTACCTTTATATATTTGGTACGACCTATACTTGAGTATTCCTCATGTATCTGGTCAGTACAGTACTCTATCCATCAAGACAGAATTGAATCCGTTCAGAAACAATTCTTGTTGTTTGCCCTTCGTGGTTTTAATTAGGATCCTCGTGTGCGGTTACCGTCATACTCCAGCAGACTTCTGATGATTAACCTTCCTTCCTTAACTAATCGTACAACCAACTAATCGTACAACTAATTATGCCTTGCATGAACCGTTCAGGGTTCTCTGTGATGACCATAACAAGCATTACAGAGTATTCTGCTCGGAGTCTTCTCTTCCTAGTATAAAGTCTTCTATTCTAAACTATTTAGCTAGTAGATAGTCTTATTTTTATTTGTAATTGTATTTGTACATATAATCGTAGTTTGTATTCGTTTTTTTACTTTGCAACTCGTATCGTACTTTACACGACTGCGCCCCTTGGTGGGTTGGGCGGGAGGTGGGATGCAGTACATTGCATCGGGATTCGATGCAAAATATCTTCATTCGTACAGACGCAGTCAAACATCCGCTGGGGCCCCCCTATACGAGCCCTCATAAAGTCATTCAACGCCAGACAGTGTCTACGAGCTGGAGCTCAACGGCAAGAAAGTTGCAGTTTCGGAGGATCGACTTAAACCATCATTTATGGCCAATGAGGACATGCAAGGGGAGTCTCAGCGAACTGCATCTCGGACCTATGAAAGCAGTTTTGTGTACGTTTTTCAAATTCGTGACGTAGTCACTAGAGAGGGAGTACTGTGGTGGCACTGTAATACGCCATCTGTTGTTCGTAGCGTAACATAATGTAAGTGTACTATTAATAGATATCGAGGGAGTTTAACCGATTGGTATCCCTGGTCTCACTAACTATCATCCCTACGATTCTGGTGAAATAGAGGAGACAGCTAGCGACAGCTTAAGCTTAATATACATATAATTTTGGAACAATAAAGAACAGTAACAAACTATTTTAAAGTAATACAAATCTCCGTAAATCCATATAATTTTTAGTTAGCCCTAACCTTCAAAAGACATGTGTATAAATTTGACAACTGTCGTACTATTAGTTTGTGAGATATATCAATTCGAATAAAACTACTTTTGTTAATTTAAAAAAAAATGTATGAAAGGGAATTATGTGTATTAAAAAAGACTTCCTTTTTGGCGAAAAAAAATACTGTTGAAGCCAAGGCATGGTAAATATTAATCGTGATAAATTTTAATCGGACCCAGCACCAGGAAAATCAACTGTTGAGAAGTGGTTCGACAAGTTTAAACTAGGACGCCCCCAAACGGCTGTTACCGACGAAAATATCATGAAGTCCACAAAATAGTTTGAGGTAACCGTAAAGTGAAGTTGATTAAAATAGCTGAGACCCTTAAGATATCAAAGGAACGTGTTGGACATATCGTGAATGATTATTTGGGTATACGAAAGCTGTGTTCCAAGTGGATGCCGCGCGAGCTCACAATCGACCAAAAACAACAACGAATTAATGATTCTGAGCAGTGTTTGGAGCTGTTCTATCGTAATAAATCCGAATTTTTTCGGCGATATGTGGCTGCATGTGATGAACCGACTCCAAAGCGTAGAAAGACGCAAACGTTGGCTGGCAATGTTATGGCATCAGTATTTTGGGATGCGCATGTAATAATATTCATCAGCTATCTTGAAAAGAGAAAAAACGATCGATAGCGACTATGTATTATCACTAACCAAATAACATATAGACTGGACAAACCGTACATTTGGTGGTGACAAGCGTTTTAAGCGCGGCTGGTCCAAGGTCGCCTTCGTTTTTGTTCGGGTTCGAGACATGCCCGCATGCTTTCACAGCAAGAGAGTAAGAATACATATGTGCTGTGTCGTAGAACGGCATCGCTGTCTTTTTACTCGCTCACTTTACAGGAAACTGATTTGGCTTACTCTCATCCATATGATTTGTGCGATAGAACGGCATTGCTGTTTTTTATCTCGCTCCCACTACAGGAAACTGCTTTGGCTTACTCTCAGTGCTCTTTCAATTTGTCTATGTACCGTTTAAATGTTTGTGTGTGTGTGTCCGCACAAGCAAAAATGCCCACAAATTCAATTTTCGTCAAAAGTCGGTGGCATTTCTTCCCTTTTGAGGGGACGAGTAATATGAAATAATGAAAGGGTTTGCCACGTCCACGCGAAATTCTTGCATTTTAGCTCGTTATTGTTGGAAAGGGTACCTAAGCGTTGGCATGTGTGCATTTAAAAGTTTTTGGACTTCCTAATAACGCATACTTGCATATTTTGTATAATAATTTGCTTAATAATTTGCCTATTGAGCGAAACTATATATTTTATGGGGTACGACATCGGCCAAAGACCAAGGTCCCATGTTTATAACTTTCTTGCGCATTAAGTACTTCTTAAGATTAAATTAAAGGGAGCACATCGCTCTAAAAAAATTAATTTATTTTTTATATTTTTTTGAAAATGTAAGCATTGCAATGTAATGTAAAATATAGGACTAGCTTTTAACGTCAGCACTGTGTGGCTGATCGGCCGATTTCATGGCTTGGGCAAGTTGTCGAATCTATGATGAGGGGTAGGAGAACAGCAGAAGGTGATTAAAACGCACAGCATTGACGAAACTCAGCATCCTTAACCGGGCAGCAAAAAATTGATTTTTGTTT